TTGGGGGCCTCCACATTTTTAGTCGCAGCGCACACACGCCGACATGGGGAAGTCTTGACTATCGTAGCAGGCGATCAGAAGTCGACAAACAGGTGACAAGGTGGGGCGATGAATTTGTTTGTTTCGATGGGGTGTGCGGGGAAAATCCGATTACCCGGCATTCCAATTGTGCACTCGTGTTTGTTTCGCCGTATCAGTCAAATGAGCTGCCATCTCTTTTTCCCCAGCAGTTCTCCCACTCACTCTTTCCGCTTGTGTTCCGCTCGCTTGTTACGTCACGCTATATCGCTACGTCGGGGGTGTTTTCGTAAGGGGAATGCAGGGGAATGATTACATAGCGACTACGAGTGCTCAAGTTTAGAATACTCGTAAATTAAAATATAGGAACGCTATAGTTCAGACGGGTAAAATATCAAGGGTGTCGAGTGCTATAAAGCGACCTAGGAAATAACATGAACTTTTACTTAGAAAAGCTTCTATGGTAAACTTATTGGTAACAAATTAGTTTTTAACTTTTTATCCTTGTTCATTTTTGTACAGTATTCGCACTGAATTGTTCTTTAAAAAGGTATGGAAAAGCGACCCCTATATTACTAGATGAGTTTTCATTCCTGAGCCAATCCCCAAATGTTGTTATTTTTCCCCAATTTGAATTTCCCCACCCCAACGCCACTGTTCAGCCCCTACAAAATTGCATGCGAGCACCCACAAATCGAACGGTTTTCTCCAGCTCAGAGGCAAAGTTGACACAATCCACCTGGCCAACAGGTGCGACAGAACGACAACCCATTTGCAAAAAATCACCACCACCATCTGGAATCACCCGAAAACCCCATTTGGAAGAAGTTTGGGGGTTTCTAAGGGCTTGCTGGGGGCTTCGCCGAAAGGATACTTTCATTTCATACCCGGCGAGAGAGTGCAAACAATTTTTAGTGAAATTTTCGAATAGGCGAACAGCAAGCTCCCTTTTTTTGCGAGGGGTTTTGGTTCCGATTCCGATTCTGCCGACGACACTTGATGATGATGATACCCGCCCCGCTCATGCACACACCCGTATTGGGTTTGTTGTGTGTGTTTGTGGTGTGTTACGTTTTTTATACTGCTGTTTTTTTTTTTGTTCATGCGCACACTGAAAAAGGTTCTAAATAATGACGGGAGCGCCAGCAACAACAACAGTGACCACTTAGAATGATAAAACAAACACAGAAACTACAGGAAAAACAATAACAACAACTACAATCTGGAGAGCACACGCACACTACTGTTTAGTAAAAAAAAGTGGGTGGTGGGGCTGAGAGGAAGCAAGGGAGTGGGGAGGGTCAGGGCTGGTTTTCTCGCTCGCACTCACACGACATTGACTTTGAAACACATTTGACAGCCCCAGGCAGAAGAAGAACAAGCAGAAACGCTCGAGATCACGACTAAAAGCAGAAGCAGTAACAAAAAAGAGATAACAAACATACAGCCAAAACAATATAAAACAACAATTTTTTAACCCAGAGAACTATTTAATACTTTTAAATATTGTAAATATTACAAACATTATTTGCAAAAATCAAAGCCCGCTCCTATTTCTCTAGATATGTACATACATAACTCCTGACATAGATAACTCCTTCAATGAGGGTGGTCGATTCAGCTTTCTTTTTTAGAAGATATTTGTAATTTTAATATGTTTTTACTTTTTCTGTGTACTAAGAATGCCTTACCCTTAATATTAAATAAAGAAATATGAGGGAAAACCTACACATAATAAATTTTTTGTAACGAAACAGCTATTTTCCCCCTGAATAAATGGCATCACTGACTCCCCATTTATGTGCTCCCGCCAGGTAATTAGCATTTCTGGCTATCTCTCTTTCTCTCTCGCACGCACAAGCAACATGACAACCCAATTCACCATGCCAGAGCGAGCTCAAAGGTAAATGAACTCTGGCCCCCATCCTCGCCCTCACCTTACCAGACACACGTGTGTTTGATTGTTTGTGTGGGTAAGCATATTTCAATGCCAAGGTGACGGCCTCGCCACATTATATCCCTCTCTTTCTGTCCCTGCCTGCCCTCTGTTTGGCTCGCTCGCTCTTGCGGCGACAAATCAACCTCCTACACTTTTCTGCTTTACTGTTACCGTTAAAACTTAAACTTAAAACAGTTCAAACATTTTTTACAACACAAAAATCGCCGCCAGAGGAGCGGCGAACCTCTACGTATCCACCATTATCGCATTGAATCCCATTCAATCCACTCGGCAAACTCACTCGCGACCTGCCACGCCCCAATCGCCGGGGGCGGAGGATAAGAGTAGGCTTACGAGTACGAGTGAGTGAATAGTGTGAATGCCTCATATTCATAGCGGTTTTGTGAATTTTGTATTAGGCCATCAGATTTTGGAGATGCATAACGGGGGCCATGAACGCACGAAAGAGATGAATATATGCCGCAATGTTTGCCCAGTGCCTGAATTCTCCACCCTCTTTGCGCTGGGCGCCTGTTAACTGTTTTAGTTAAAGAGCAATCCATTTTGTTTTGCCCCATGCGAAGGAGTAGCGCCAATGTTCTGTCCCCATCGCAAGCGCTCGTACTGTATTGCCATCTCAACTTACACGCAGCTAAGTTGCGTGCAAGTTGAGGCGAGAAAGAGTCAAAAAGGGCAGCGGGTGCAGTGGAGTTGCTTTTGCACAGGGATTCAAGGTTGTTTTTGTTTATGCTGGATGAGTTGGAGCTCCTCTGCATCCCCTTTTCCTATCAATTTGGCTTTCTGATAAAACTTTCAATCCGCAAAGCACAAAAAAAGCATTAACAGCGCTTTCTGCAAAAGTGAGGTGCTTTTGATTTAATAATGCCTAATCCGTAGATAACATTAATATGAGATAAAATATCTTATAAAGGCTTCTAAAAGATTCATCTTGCATTCGAAATCGTCTAGATTTCCAACTTTGAATCCTTGCATGTTATTCTGATCTTAAGTGATCTTTTCAGTTCAGGTGAACTTAAAACTTGATTAAAGACGTGATGGGGACTTTCTTTAACTCATTTTAAACTAGATTTCTTATTTTAGCGTACCTATTAAAGTTTAAAATGCAACGGTTTTAGTTAAAGTTGTGCCTGTTGATTGCCCTAGAACTTTTAAACACCCACTAGGGGCCGAAACGAGAAGGAGCTCACGGTTCTCGAGCATTGCAGCTTGCAGAACAAGTTTAGAACTTAAACTTTGCTAGAGGAGATTGTCCAGAAAGGAAGTGGGAGGGAGATGGGGCTATCAGTAGAGTGGGGCCCTTGGGTAACGAACCTGCGAAGAGCCCGAGAACGTGCCCAAAGTCTTCCCATATCATTGGCTATTTTAATAAAAGCACTCGGATTTAACTTTTTTCAAGTTTCGTTTCGGAATACCGAAAAGCGGCCTCGCAACTTTGGCAAGTTAATTTAGCATGGAAGCTACAGTTTTTGAAAGTTCGACATCTCAAAGTTCTTTGTGCTGGGATGGCAGCACAAAATTTGCTGAAAATCGGCGAAGGCTTTAGCAGGGCAATATGTATTTGTTTTGAAACAGGTCGACAATGTTTCAAGGGTTCCGTGGGGGAATGGGGGGTGTCAAACGATCCGAGCGTAAGCGTTTTATATACATTTTTTTTCGGCCGAGAGAGCTTAAACAGCTTTTTAGTCGGCAAATTATGCAAAAGAATTTATTTATTGGCCCGTTGCTAAGATTGTCCAAACAAATTAAATAAAGCAAGGCCTCGAGTTGGCAATCCATTATTTTACCTTTTAAATCCAAAACTTCGTTGTCCCACTTCTTTGTACTTATTTAGAGAAGAGATAAAATAACTTTGTTGAAACAGTTTGTTCTTAATTAATAGTGCTTTTTAATAGCGATTTTTAAAAGCTTGTAACTACACTTGAAGTAATTAAGTAAAATATTTATTTTGCAAACTTCAAATGTTCTGGATCTCCAATTTTGCAAGATAGCGCCAAAGATTGAGTTTTTGTACTGGAAAATATAAAACCGAATATCAATGTATTTGGGACCTATCCTTTTGATTCTTTCCTATCAGTTTTTCGTTAAAAAATACAAATTTATATAAAAATATAAATATAAAATATTCCGAAAAATGGCCCGAAAAATCCCGAAGAGGGAACCCACACCACAATCAATTTTTTCCAGGCTCGTTTCGCTCTTTTTTGTTGCGGCTGCGAATTGCAAAGAAATTGCACAACTCATTCGGTGTAGAATTATTGTAATCCCCACCAGGCGCACAGATGCCGGCAGTGGGTGGATATCCCCAAGTGTCTTCGGAGTGCTTTTCGCCGCAAGCACTTTCCGCAGCGGGAGCGAGCGGGATGGCAGCTCTGCGCAGCTTTTGCCGCGCCCCAAATCGGACTACGGCTATCTCGCCCGCACCCAGTGTTGCATTGGCGTGCGTCCGTAAAAACGAATAGTGCAGAAAAGACGCCAAATCGCTGCTCTTTTGGCCTGAGCGCCTGATGAAAAATTCACAAAAAGCCAAAATAGCGCGGAACACACAATTTTTTTCTCGAACGGGCAAATCACGACGCAACTCTAAAATCCGGCCGTTGAGATTCAAAATTTAAATCAATCAAGCGACTCCGAATTGGAAAATGATGGGCACAAATGAATTTCTTGGGCTTTTTTTTTTGAGTGATTGGTTTAAATTACGATATTAGTTTTAGAAAAGTTTTGCTCCTTGTGACTTTAATCAATCTTAGTAGGGTGAATTCGTAACGGCTTTAAAAGCGCGCGAAATTCAAAATGTATTTTAAGATGGACTAAGCAGATATCAAAACAAGGGGTTGAAGAAATTTATTTAAAGTTTCAATACATTTTAAATACTTCTTTTTTATTTATTTGTCTGAATAAGTTATATTTTAAATAAATTTTTAACCTACATGTTCTTTGAGATATACTTTTCCTACCACTTGACAACTCTTGAGTGCAATTATTTTGAATTCCCTTTTGCATGAAATCATCTGTTAATGATTCTATTTTTATCTGTTACAAGAAATTGCAGCAATTGAAAGCTATTCGTTAATTGTCGCTCGTTCTAAGGTGACTGTATTATTTGGGAAACTAACTGACATTTGAAAAAGAAGATTGCTATTTTTCATACCAGTCAAAAATATAAATTCGAAAATCTTGTTTAACAAATAATAATAAAGTGTTCTACTATATTCAGCAGTTACATAACAAATCTAAGCGAAATGGCTCTACCCGATGGACTCTCTAATAAAATGAAGGTTTTCCAGGTTAGTTGGGATCACTAGAAATTCAAAAAATATTTTTAAATTCATAATTTTTATAGGCTGTCAACGATCTACCAGTTTTTCTGAAGGGCGGCCCAGTAGATAAGGTTTTGTTTGGCATAACAGCCGGATTGTGCGGCGTTGGCGTCCTAAGCTTTGTCCACTTGGTCTACACTATGGGATTCTCCAAAAAGAAGGCCTAAATTAAGAATCAGATGTTGTTTTGATTAAAGCGAAACTAATATAAACTAATAATTTTGTTTTACTTCCATTTCGAGTCAAGTCAAAAGACCCGCCCAATAATATTTACCGAAATATATTAGGGAAACACTGTTTTAGGCCACGCATTTGTGAACTTGGTATTCTCAGTACTATCAGATCTGGTCACACTCGTTGGGTGGAAAAATAAAAACAAAGAAAATCAGTGTGTTTTCAAAGAATTAAATAGGTCTTAACCCAAAGAAACCCAGCGAAATGGAGCCCAACGATGAGGTAGTGGAACGCCAGAAACTAGTGCCAAACGATGTGGAAACGGAGGAAGAAGCCCAAAGCCAAAGCGCACCAAAATCAGCTCAAACCCCTGCCTCGCCCGCCGTCCCCAATGTAAGATTCTTTGGGATTTCGGTCCAAAAATTATTATATTTTTCCTCGTTTTCTCTAGATTAAAATCAAAGGAATATCTAGTGGGGAGACCACTCGCAGCAGAAACTCCGCCTCCTGCTCCATAGAACGCACGATATCCGAAAAGGAGAAGGACAAGAGTCAGGGACAGGGTCAAGCAGCCACGAAGGTGACATATGTAAATGAGCGACGGCCACGCCCACAGGCGCACGGTGGGAGTGGCGGCGGTGGCGGTGGAGATGAACGATTCGAATTCAAGACCCGGCCGCGTAAATTGCTAAAAGGTGAGTGAAGCTATAAATTAAACTTAATCACCGTTCTCTCCTCCAAAATGGCTTTTAGTCGCTGTGGATCGCGGTTTTTGGTGCCAGCTGGGAAGGATTCAGTGAATCTATTATATGTTATTCCCACACTTCGCACTGAGTTATTCATATGAATTCTTTATTCTTACACTTTCTATTATATCTAAAAATAAGCAGGAATAGAGTTTCTAATATCTCTCTGTTATTATTAACAAATTGAACTAATTGTCGTTTGACTCGGACATTATAATTGACCTTCGCCATCGATGACGCACTTTTCCGGCGTCCATATGGCCGGAATACATTACATTCCATTATTCACAGTCCATCTATACGCGGGCCTCACCCAGTACACCGCACACAGACACTGAACAGGAGGTTATCATTTTAATAATTGAAATTACAAGCCTCTCGCCACCCCATGCGAAAAGCGAAAATAAAAACAGCCTGCGGCAGGATGTATTCTTTTCCTGGCTATTTGCCTTTCCAATCGGTTCAGTTCATGAGGCAGTGGTTGTTAAGAATTTAATAATAGAGCATTAATTATTCATAGTTCTATCTTATAACAAAATTTATTTTTACATAGTAATAATTTGGATTGTATTTAAACCCTTTTTTTCTGCAACACTTTTATCTATTGTGCATTTTATTTTAGATCTTATATTTCCAAGGTTATTTTTTATTTTATAAAGATCAATTCTACACTGCCCTTGGTTCTTATAATTTTTTATTTTATTTATTTTATTATTTGTACTTTCATATCCCCCACGTTTGATTTCTTGACCGCGTAATGCCGCAACCAGATTCCGATCAATTGGAACCCACACACAGCAGTGCCAACAGCTTGAACGCAATCACTTTGGTGAGCAGCGAGTGGCTAGCACCTGATCCCCAAATCACCAAAAACAACACCACCACTCCCAACAACAACAACAACAACAATGATAGCACAAAACCCAACAATAACAATCAGCATAATAATAGCAATCAGAATACACCGCGATCGCAGCGTCGCAAAAATCCCACAGCTTCGATGCCAAATGCCAGTGTCCACAGCGAAAAGTTCGACGATCGTCCAATAAAACACCATTCCTTTGTCTCCGAAGTTCCCGATGTGAAGCACATGGAGCGAGCCCTCCTCGGATTGCTGGATGACTTTCACTCCGGCAAGCTGAAGGCATTCGGTGAGTGCAGTTTGAATTGTTAATTAACATTTTATCTAATCCTTAACGCTAACATTAAATTCCCAAGCAGGTTCCGGCTGCACGATGGACCAGATGACCAAGATCCGAGAGCAGCAGGAGAGCCTGGCCAAACTGCATTTCGAGCTGGCTGCCGCCGAGGAAGACTCCCTGGAGCACGGCAACGAGTTCAACACCAACAAGGCGCAGGAGAACATGCTGCAGCTGATGCAGCGCCTGGAGCAGCTGTCCATCTCCATCGAGCAGCTGCAGACGAGCCACACGGGTCTCTGAGATTTGGCCCAGCCGCAGGCCTGGGATCAACGCCTGCTCTGGCTCTGAGCACACCGCGGAAACCAAGAGACACCAAGAGATATGGGAACTTAGGATTCGGGAGTTTTACACGACACTAGCGACTTTTTAACGGGGACGGTCACCTGGGATTTTGTGTAAATATTTTAAGTTGTAAGCTTAAGTGGGAGGACTCGATGGGCTTCTTATGCTAAATAGTTTAGCAAACTCGCAGTGATTGTGAAACTAATTTAGATTGTCTTCGCGTAGCCATAGCAATAGCATAAAATTATTGTAGCGGGTGCCAAGTGTTGGTGCTGAAATTGTTCATTTCATTACAATTCGATTCGATTTGATTATTGTGTGCTGCAGTTTATCAGGCTTTGATTATGATGAAAAATCTGTTCCGCTTATTGTTTGTTATAGTTACATATTTGCAATATACATATATACACACGTAATCATGTACATCTACGAAACTCGGAACCTATTAAAGTTATCATTTTTATAATGCATAAGAAGCAATGTTTATTAATTCTTTTAAGTGGTACCTTAAGGAAATCTCATTTATTTCTTTGGCTTTGAATAATGCTTATATGACTCAGAAGATCAAAATTCAGTACTAAATTTTATTGACATATTCAGATAATTTTTTTTTTATTTTGAAATGATTTATTTCGAAAGGAATTTGATAAGTTATTTTTAGTATTCCAATCACCATGTTTTCGTGGCGCTCAGAGTGACAGAATTTTTACCAGCTAAGCGTTCTGAGGAAGCGGAATTCCCAACAACCGAATCGAACCAAACGTCCCCATTCCGCCGATTGTCGGGGGCTCCAAAGACGCCCACCGCGTATTCCGTTCTGCATGCACAATTTCCATTTCGGGATGGGCATATCAATTGTGAGAAGTGAACCTTTGGACAAGTGCATTTGTACATAGGAAATTTTATTCCGTCGTTGTTGTTTCTTGTGGTTAATACGTGCATTCGTATTCAGCCGGTGTCCTCTGCTTCTTCGGCTGTCATTGCGCAGTCTCAGCCGGGTTATCATCCCCCTCCCCCTTCCGCTGCTTTCCGACTTTAATGTTGTGGCTTACTGTCGTTGTTGTTCTTCTTATTTCTTGTTTTTTGTTGTTCTCTTTTCTCCTGTTGTTATTTGTGATCGGTAAAAGTAATTTGTTGTTCGTTCTTTCATTATACCCGTTACTCGCAGAGTAAAAGGGTATATTGTATTGGTTCAAAAGTATGTAACAGTATAGTAAGGTACATAACATTACATATCCCCAAAACTTAACAGAGCTTTAACAGAGAACGGTTCTTCAGATCTTGTGCAGATATTCCTTTGCAAATGGCAGTCTTTTAAGCTTGTTTGCCTTCGATATGTGTGCAAGTATTGAGCTTTAAATAGATTCTTTCTTTTGCGCATCATTTTTGCCCCGTTATTTTACGACACCAAGCTAGGTTTAAAATACATAAGCCACCCACCAACCTATGGGGCGTTTCAGCCCTGCTTTCTACATACATACACATGTATATGAACGTCAAGATTGGGTAACGGGTATTTGATAGTCGAGGCACTTGACTACAGTGCTTCCCCTTGTTTTAATGCTGATGTAAATCCGGGTTACAAATAACAAGAACTCTGCACTGGAAGAAAATAAAGTAAGAAAGTTAATTAATGGTTATACAACTATACGAGTTCATTAAGCAAAGATGTATCATAGATATAAAAGATTAAATATTATATATTTAGTATAGTATAGTTTTAAATATTACAAGAAGACTGTTTTGCTGAGTAACCATCTTAAGATCGTTTTCTGCCAGTGTACTCCCACTTGTTGTTCTTGGCCACCGTTCCCTTTTTGTTTTATTATGCTCTACCCGCTGCCGTCTTTCGACTTGTGGCCGAAACTCTCGGGTTCTTTTGGACCCCTCTGCTTGGCTAGCGGTTTAGTGCATTCCTTGGGCCTCCGCCTCCGGTCTCCGGTCTCCCACTCTCCGAGAAATGGAGAAATAAACGCTCGGACCGTCGCATCCGCTACGCTGCATACAAATGCATTCCGGCCGACAAGGGCGTGGCATTTGAGCCGCCAGCAGCAGCTAACAACCAAACAACCAAACAGAAACACGCAACATCTATCCCAAATTACTGCCACAAGTGGCAGCGGCAGTGCCACCGCCACTTCCACTCGCCGTCCAGGGATCCACGTTCCGTCACGTGCTCGGATGGGATGGGGCACTCGGATTCCCATCCCGGCGGAGGGATTGGACATGGAAATGGGGAATATCCGCGGCATTTAAAACCAGGCAAGGCCCTACCCTACACTTAGGAAAAAATAACAAGAGAACGTTAAATAATATGTTTAATAAATATGCACTTAATAATCTTATGTCCTAAAATCAAGATCACAATAAAATCAAAATAAAATAGCTTAAAAGCGATCTATTTAGAATACAAATATTTTCTGAAAACTCTCTTAAAAAACTAACCTTTAACTAATAGGATTAAACTAATTTTAATATTTTACTTAAGCTTGTATAATTTTTTGGCAAGTTTGGTGGTTCATTTTTTTCCAAGTACCCAAAGACGACAAGTGCCTTTTGCCTGGCTCATAAGGTGGGTGCAACAGGGGATCCGATTCGTGTCGCATCGCATCGAATCGGATTGGGATCGTTGGCAGTTCATCGAATCGAGTGTTATGTAAAGACGGCAACCGAAAGAAGTCATTAAATATGTGAAGCGCATATCAAATTTCGAATGAATTGAACTTACTTGGCTTGGTCACATGAGAATTTGATGAACTGCCAAGCGGACAAAGAGTCCGATACAGAGATACCTGCTCCGGGGGGGTGGGGCCCACAGTGGAGTGCAGATAAAGGTGGCCAGGAGGAGCAGCACTTGTTGCCCGGCAATCCGATCCGATATGCTGTCGTTGTCGCTGGGGCACTTCATTAACCTGAACTCTGACTGAGGAAAAGAAGTGCTGCACTCACCGAAAATATGCATTACACTCTAATAATTGTTTTTTAAGTCCTTTGAAATATTGTAGGCATGCAGATATACCCTCTATGAATGTTTTGTTAAGATCCAAAGATCATTTACAAAATCTATAAATATTTAATAAAATAAATATACAATTTAAATTTATATTTAAACTAGAGTTTATCTTTTCCTGTTTAAATTTGAATAACTATTCAACAAAAAATAACTTATTTATGAAATTAGGAACTCCTCTTTTGCACTTTTCTTAAAGTGTGCTCTTCCTGTGTAAGCAGGCTGCTTAAAGCCTGTCCCTGTTCCAGTGGCTGTCTGGACCCTTAATCCTTGCCCACCCACGAGCACGAACTCGGAGGCAGCTGCTCTGGCTGTGCGGAAATTACGTTGCTGATGAGCAGCTCTGGAAAAGCGGAAGACGCACGAAGCTTTTCCACCTACAGGAAGTGCGACAAAATTCAAACAGACTCTGGGTCCCCGCAGCTCTTCCTCTCCAGTCCTCCATCCTGCATCCTGCATCCTGCTGGCAAAGCGGAAGCAAAAAGCGAAGAGAGAAAGCACGATGAAGAGGAGGGGGAGGGGGAGGTGGTAGGTGGGAGGTGGGTGTGGATGGGCGGGTCAGTGGGTGGACTCCTGTCAGCTCTGGGCTGGCATAAATGCGCACACGGCGCAAGGCAAAAAGTTTCCTGCCAGGAGCCAGGACTCCCAAAGAGGAAGTGACTAGTGAAGGGATGGATGAGAAGGGGGAAGGGGAGGGGATAGTAGGGGGATGGGGGATGGGGTTTGTTATCGTCATTCCCCTTCGGCAAACGATGGGCGGGAGCGGGCGCTCCGAGGGCGACGTACTTTATTTCCTGAAAATGTCCTCGAAAATATGAACATTATATCCCGGAAACGGAAGCTGCAGCATTTGCAAGGAAGTGACGCAAGGGGCAGGAAACACCCACCCGGCCACCCAGCCACCCAAAAGCCCAACCAACCAGCCGCCCACAGAGCACAAAACATTTCGTGGACATGGACATGAATGTGGATTTGGATGGGTTGATTAAAGCGGGTAAACAGCAGCGACAGGACGACCAGGACGACAGCGAAAACGAGGACGAGCGCCAGGACACCGTTGAAATGTACACACAAGTGAGTCGGGACATGGAACAGGATAAGAGCACATCGGAAAAAAAGGATTTTATCATTCATTCAGATTAAATTGTGGGTAAATTATTAAATATCTTTTTAAATAAAGATAAATTGGCTTGCATAATATTGAACTTATTTATTTGGTAAAATATTGTAAAGGTAGAAAAAAGATTTTATTTCGACCGTGACAGGACTCGAACCTGCAATCTTCGGATCCGAAGTCCGACGCCTTATCCATTAGGCCACACGGTCAGTTGAAAACAGGGCGATAAAATGTTCTATTAGAGATGCTTATCTAGGTTCAATAATTAACAGTAACGTAAAAGTAATAATTCCTACTTTGCAATTCACAGAATTTATGATTATTGTTACAAGTAAGATATTGAAGTTTTTTAATATCTTAAATTATTAAGTCCAACTCTAGATTTCATTTGCCTTTTATAGCGTGTAACATAGGATTTAATCACTTTTTATGTGCTATGTAAACATTTTCAAATATTTACCTTTGCCAGTCTCAAAGTAAACAAGGCAATGCATGATTTTTTTTCAGTGTTTGTCGCAGATGGAAGCCAGGAGAGTGCGGAGGCGAATCGGACATCTGACTACGTTGTCGCATCCTGCAGGAAGCGTGGCGTTGCCGCCGGCATCTACAGCTCCCTCCTGCTCTCGTCCATTTCCCATTTCCACTTCGCCCCGGAAAAGCGGCAAACGGAATGCGAGAGGCAGGCGAGGAGAGCCTTTACGTCAAGGAAATGACGGAAGCAGCCTCAGCAGCTGAATGCTCCGACTCGGCTGCTCCGGACTGCATCTCCGGAATACGGACTAAGGACCCTGGACGCAGGACCTGGGGGGACATCCTTAGAGAGCGCAGGACTCGGCTTTGGCAGGAAATCATCGTCCCATGGGACGTAAATTAAATTCCATGCAAAGTTAATTTTTCTCACCCACCCGGAGAGCAGTGAATCGGGAATCGGGAGAGCTTAGTCCTGATTCCGGATTCTTGATTCTGGGCTGCTGAAGCAGTTCCATTTCCGCAAAGTGGGCGGACGAGCGATTTATGGTTGGGGTAACAGATATGGGAAAAGTTTATAAATCAACGGAAACTTTGTCATCGCAGTTCATGTGGTGCTTAAATATTAAATTGAATTGAGTATATCGGTGTGGATTGATGGGTTCGAGGTGATGAAGGAGGTAGTTACATGGGAATCTGTTGAGGAATTTTAAAGAGATTTATTGGGAAGGTTTTATAACTATAAGGAATTCCTTTAATATTCATTTAATAAATTTTAAACTGGATTATGTTAAGTATCTTATTATTAAGCATCTCCCCTATTGCCATTGCCACATTTTTAGCCACCAGATTCCAGTCGAAATGACCGACTTCCTTGC